CTAGATTGCTTTTACTCAGTAGTAAAAATATAGTCAAATTGAAGCTGAAAGCATAAAGAATCGTTTGCATGCATTCAGCGAAGTGTTTTCATAAGAAAATCCAGTGAAAATAGTGTTTTAATTTGGGTTGCCGAAAATAGTCTGTCATGCCGAAGCCGTCATTTCCCCTACTACTTTTTTAATATTATCTGTTTTTTTTTCGTGTTGGGTATATTCATCACTGCGACCATTACTTTGATCTATTGTGATATTCCCCGTTTTTTTTTATTGCTTTATCAGTCATGTCGTATCACTATTTTGTGAAGCGACCGACAAAGACTGACCAAAAGTATTTTCCCAGCCAGGTATTACATTTCGAATGAAATGTACTACTTGACTGGGACCTGCATTCCAAATATCAAAGGGTTTTGCCAGTCCCTTATCCAGAAAAATACGCCTTTTATTGAAGATTGCTGCATAAGAGCATAGCAGGTGTTCAGAGTCTTCCTTTTCTATGCCACAGAATCGACACATATCCTCTTGAAGTGTTCCTATTAACTTCAAATGATATTTACATGGACACTGTTATCAGACCAGTATAGACACTGAGATCTTTCTTTGATAATTCAAGAATTTTGCTAGTCATTGAAATGTTCGGAAATATGAACCGTTTCGACTGCCTAGCAATGGAAGTGTTGTTCCAATTGGTCTCCACTTTCATTTTTTTTCCATTTCTTGATCTCCATTTTAAGAGAACAAGCAGAAACTCCACAGAATGGTTCTGGTCCTATGAATTGCTGAGATGATCCTAGCCTGGCTAACGTGTCGGCTTTTTCATTCCCTTCAATTCCACAGTGGCCAGGAACCCAATATACGTTTACTTGGTTTAGACATGCCAATTTCTGAAGTGACATTGCACATTCCCATACGAGATTTGAATTGCATGTTGCTGATTTTAAAGAATTTAATGCTGCTTGACTATCAGATATAATGCAGATATTCGAATGTTTATAATTTCTGCGCAAGCATATTACAGAGCATTCAAGAATTGCTTGAATTTCTACTTGGAACACGGTTGACCAGTAACCCATAGATATTAATATATCTATCCCTGGACCAGTTAGCCATGCTCCCACACGATTGTTCAATCTTGAACCGTCTGTATAAAAAATTGTGGAACCTGGACTGATGTTTGGTCCCCCACTTTCCCAAATATAACGATCAAAACATGCTGCATTGTATAAACGATCGAAATTATATTTTTTTCTCCATCCAGTCTTAATTTTTTAAAACAAGAGAATCAATATCAAACATTTTTTTAAATACTAAGGTGTAAGATCACCTTCAAGGAAGTACTTTGTTCGTTGAACCCTTAAAGCGTTCCTTTCAGCTTCTAATTGGATGAATTGATGCAACGGAAGCAGATAAAGTAGTGCATCTAGTGCCATACTCGGTGTGCTGTTCATCGCACCAGTTATTGAGAGAGTAGCAAGTCTTTGCAGTCTCCCCAGCTTCTTCTGAGCCGATTTTTCATTAGTTTTCGGCCACCAAACCAAGGATGCGTAGGATATTCTGGGTCTTACAGTCGTCAAATAAATCCAGTGCATCATTTTTGCTACCAAAAGTTTTCTTACTTATCCAAAGCGCATTTATTGCCTTATTAACAACCTGCTCTATTTGTGAATTCCAGTTAAGTTTACTGTCAAGAATGACTCCTAGATACTTGACTGTTCGTGCAAAATCTAAAAAAGTTTCTTTCAATTTTAAGTTATTTATAGAAAATTTGCTTTTCCGTGTGAACGGTACAATAGTGGTCTTTTAGAAGGGCTTATATTTAACCCTTCTTTAGTGCACCACGACGAGACACAACTTAAAGCAGTTTGCATTCTATTTGAAATGACATTATCAAATTTTCCTCGTACTATTATGACTATGTCATCAGCAAAGCCAATTATCCCGAAGCCCTTTGCTTCTAAGTTTTTGCGAAGTTCGTCAACTATTAAAGACCATAAAAGAGGTAAAAGAACACCTCCTTGAGGACACCCTTTTACAGCTCTAACTGTTATGGATGAGCTTCCAAGATATGCTGAGATTCCTCTTTTAGAAAGCATCTCATTAATCCACCTAACGATGCTGTCCGCGATCAAACGCTCCCAGCGAGAAGTGAAATTTCCTACGACGCAATTTGTTTCTAGAACATTCCATGCAAAGAAGAAGAAGAATATTTTTTCCTTACGACGGCGCGTGTGATTGGTGTTTGGTCGGGTCGCGAGTGTGTATATATACCGGGCCTGTTCACGCGTATCGTTTATTAGTAAACCAGCAGTCTACAAGTGACATACAGAAGCAGTAACAGAAGAAACCGGAAGCAGACTAGCAGCAGCAATAACTGTACCCAGCGGTGCTGCATTCAGGAGCAGCACTTTCCTGTAGAGAACAATAAATCAAAGTAGAGCAGCAACGAACTTCTTTCACTAGTCCATCCTGGTCATCCGTGTCCTTCATCGGTTCCGTGGTAATTGTGTCACAAACGGCCCTTTTCATGGCCCCAGATCTTTCTTCTTTCGTGATGCACATTACCCTCGGGCCATTACTACACTGTTGGCGTTCCGATCCAGTCCACACCTGATTGCATTGTGTTCATGGCCGAACATAAATTGGTCCTTCAATCCAGATACGAAACTGTTGCGAAAAAGTATTCGCCGACAGCGCGTAGGACAGCAGTGATTGACAACGTAATCATCACTTGGTGAGTAGAAGTGAAAATTGTGCTGCGTAGAAGCGCTCACTGGCAGCGTGTGTGCGAAGACAAGTGTGCCATTGTAGGAGGCATCCGATTGTACAGTATCCACCGTCGCATAGTGTATGTATCCGTTACCTCGGTTCGTAGTATCCTTCCGTGGCGACAAACGCGTCGGTTCGTGTGCTTCCATATCCGTGTGAGTTGGTGTCTAGTCGCGAAATTTAGTGTACGTATTCCTTCGTCGTGACACCTTGAGACAGTGTGTTCGGGTTTAATCGTAGCGGATTCTCTGAGAACGTTATCCACCGTCACGACAAACCTGAAATATCATTCCGTCGGTTAACAGTGATTTTTAGTTCGAAACATTGTGCTACCCCACCCACCAACCAAGAAGATGGGCATCCAGGAAGAATTGAAGTTGCTGATCCACAAGCGAGGCCAAGTGAAGGCTAAGCTGACACGGATTCACAACGCGTTAACGGCAGCAAAGGAAAGCAGGGAAAGGCCATCTTTACCGCAACTCCGAGTTCATGCCAAGAACCTAGCAGTAATCTACAAGGAATACAACGATAACCACGATATGGTCATCGCATCCGTATCCGAAGATAGTGTCAAGACCCAGGAAGACAAGTATGAAGAGTTCGAGAACCTGTACAACGGAACCTCTATCATGATCGAGACGTTGATCGATGTCATTGAGAAGGAGAACCGAGCGAATGCAGCCATGCCCATGCCGTCATCGTCATCTGTAGTGAACCAAATGGCGAATCAACCTGTTATCCTTCAGCCGCAATCTTTTCGAACACCCTTACCAACGTTTGATGGACGGTACGAAGCATGGCCTAGATTCAAGGCTATGTTTCAGGATCTAATGCGTCATTCCACGGATTCTGATGCAGTGAAACTCTATCATCTCGAGAATTCTTTGAAGGGTATTGCAGTTGGTGCCATCGACTTGGAAACTTTGCAGAACAATAACTACCAACGTGCCTGGGATATCCTGGAGGAAAGATTTGGCAACCAACGCCTGATCTTAGAATCGCATATTCTAGGCCTTCTGAATCTGAAAAAGATGACGAAAAAGTCTTCGAAGGACCTCCGGAACCTCGTTGATGAGTGTTCCCGCCATGTTGAGAATCTAGTTAAGCTCAACCAACAGCTTACTGGGATGTCCGAGCTATTCGTAGTGACTGTGTTGACTCGAGCGTTGGATGACCAGACCCGTGAATTGTGGGAAGCTTCCATCGATCAAACACAGCTCCCTGAATACGAGCCAACGATCGTTTTTCTGAAGCAGCGTTGCGTTATCCTGGAACGGTGTGAGAAGAGTACTCCAGAGTCGTCAAGTATTAAGATGATGGCCCAGAAGACATCGTTCCCTAAGCTTATACCATCCAAGACTTCACATCCAGCGTCAGTGACATCACTATATTCGTGCGACTTCTGTTCAGAGCAACATCAAAACTATAAGTGTCCAACATTCCAGAAGATGACCACAGAACAGAGAGTGGCTAAGGTGAAGGAAGTAAACCTGTGTTTTAACTGCCTACGAAAAGGCCATCGCAGTGCAGTGTGTTCCAGTAACAAATCATGTACGAAGTGCTCCAGGAAACATCACACATTGGTTCATTTTGAGCAGCGTGAGAAGCCGGAAGTGATTTCCAATGAAACACCAAAGGTACCCGAGGAGAACAAAGCGCCAACGGTTGAGCAACCTGTGCATGCAACCTGTTCTAGCAGCGGTTATCCACACAAGCAAGTGTTCCTGATGACAGCGATGGTGTGTTTGACATCGAATAACGGACAAACTCAACAAGTACGAGCATTAATGGATTCCGGATCGCAGATAAATCTACTTGCTGAACATGTTGTGCAACGGCTGAAACTTCCAAAATATTCGACCAATGTACCTGTTATCGGTGTTGGAGGTAGCAGATCCCATATCCCTCACAAGGTGGTGGTACGAATGACATCCAGCTGTAGTGATTTTGCCACCAACGTCGAATGTCTCGTTACTCCGAAGGTGACAGGCACCATTCCGTCTGCACGTGTGAACATTGATTCTTGGAACATCCCTCCCGGTATTCTACTGGCTGATGCTTCATTCTGCAGTCCAGGTGAAATAGACATGCTGATTGGAGCTGAATTATTTTTCCACATCCTAATGCAAGGTCAGATAAAGATGTCCAATCGATTGCCGACGTTGTACGAGACTCAGTTCGGATGGGTTGTAGCCGGTTCATACGAGGAGCCAAAGGAAGATAATCCAGTGTGTGCCAACATTGCTATGACTGACGGTTTGGAGGCGTGTATGCAACGATTTTTCGACCAGGAGGAAATTACCGAAGCCGCTATTATGACCAGCGAGGAGCAGCGTTTCGAAGAACATTATCAGCGAACTTACCGTCGCGATGAAAATGGAAGATTTGTGGTCCAGCTACCCTTTCGTGAATCTGTGAACCAACTAGGAGATTCCAGGTCGTTAGCCTTGAAACGGTTCCTGCTATTGGAAAAGAAATTGGCGAGAAATCCTGATCTGAAAACTCAATACGCAGCCTTCATCGAAGAATATAAAACCCTTGGTCATTGTTGCGAGATAAAAGAGGACGAAGATCCAGCAGGTATCCAGACATATTATTTGCCTCACCATTGCGTCCTGAAGCCATCGAGTAGCAGCACCAAATTGCGCGTGGTATTTGATGCGACAGCGAAAGCAAGTGGTCTATCCCTGAACGATGTGCTGATGACTGGTTCGAACAGTCAAAGTGACTTGTTTTCCATCGTGTTACGTTTTCGAACCCACATTATAGTTTTCTCTGTGGATGGTTCGAAAATGTACAGGCAAATTCTTATAGATCCGTCCCAAACGCAGTACCAACGAATCTTTTGGCGTGGTAGTCCATCAGAAGCGCTACAAGTTCTGGAGTTGCTGACCGTTACTTATGGGACTTCGGCAGCTTCCTTCCTTGCGGTGAGGTCACTCATCCAGTTAGCTCGTGATGAGATAGCTAATCATCCAGAAGCGGCCGAGGTAATCTTGTACGACTCGTATATGGATGACATTTTGTCTGGCGCAGAAACAGTTCAACTAGCCAAGAAGCTACGTCAGGACCTTGAAAAATTAATGCTGAAGGGTGGATTTCCGGTGAAAAAGTGGTGCTCCAATTCGGAGGAAGTACTAGATGGAATTCCTGAGGAAGATCGTGAAACCCTAGTATCGATCCAGGATTCCAGTGCCAACCAAGTCATCAAGGCTCTAGGTCTCCTGTGGGATCCGAAGAAAGACCAGTTCCTGTTCCGTGTAGCAGTTGATCCTGTAGAAGATAGTAAACAAGTGACGAAGCGATCGGTCCTATCCCAAATAGCAAAAATTTTCGACCCCTTGGGACTGTTAGCTCCCGTGATCGTCGAAGCGAAAATGATAATGCAGTGTTTGTGGGCCTGCAGTGTAGGATGGGATGATCCACTTGATGGTGAGATTCTTCACCGATGGGAAGAGTTCCAGACATCCTTAGATGAACTGAGCAACATAGAGATTCCGAGGTGTATCGTGATTCCAGAACCAGAAGCCATAGAGGTTCATGGATTGGCCGATGCTTCCCAGGCAGCATACGGAGCCTGTCTGTACCTCCGTTGCATTCGACAAAATGGATCAGCTGTATCTCACCTCCTGTGCAGCAAATCCAAAGTAGCCCCACTCCGTGCGATGACCATTCCAAGATTGGAGTTGAGTGCCGCCTTATTGCTTGCTAGGTTGGTAGAAAAGGTAGTTCCGATGATGAAGGTTTCGAGTCGACAAGTGAAGCTGTGGAGTGACAGCCAAATAGTACTGGCTTGGATCAACAAACCCTTGGATCGGTTGCAAGTGTACATTCGCAATCGTGTAGCCGAAATCAACCGCTTGACTGAAGATTATCAATGGAATTATGTGAGTACCAATCAGAACCCAGCAGATATTGTATCTCGAGGAATGAAACCAGTCCAATTGAAGAAGTGCGACCTGTGGTGGAATGGATCACCCTTCCTTACTGTAGCTGACTATGTGACGGAGCAGATTGAAGAACTTTCAGAACATGAGATTCCTGAGCTGAAAGAGGCAGCTGTCGCGAACCCAGTTGTTCAGAAATCCTGTGATCCTGTGCTCGAACGGTTCAGTTCATTTAACAAGCTCCAACGTGTTTTGGCACAAGTGGTACGATTCCTGCGTTTAGTCCGAACTCCTCGGGAGAATAGGAAACCATTCAATACATTAACTGTTCAGGATATGCGTAAGGCCGAGAATTTCATAATCCGTATGCTGCAACAGAGTCAACTACAGAAAGAGATCCAGTATATCCAGCGTGGTGAACTACCAAAGCAGCTTGCTACGTTGCATCCATTCATAGACGAAGACGGACTGTTGCGCGTCGGGGGGCGCCTGCATAACTCGAAGTTGCCTTACAATGCCAAACATCAACTGTTGCTTCCCCAGAAACATCCAGTTACAGAAATGCTTATCAAAAAGCTCCACGAGGACCGACTCCATGAAGGTCAATCCGGTTTGTTGGCAACCGTACGACAAAAATTCTGGATAACAAATGCGAGATCTATCATTCGTAAGGTTATCCACAATTGCATTAAGTGTTTCCGGGCAAAACCACTGATCATCCAGCCATCAATGGGCGTTTTACCGGAATCACGAGTTACCATTAGTGCACCATTTGAGTTAACTGGTATCGATTATGCCGGACCCATATTCGTAAAGGAAGGTAGGCACAAGCCGAAGGTAGTGAAGGCGTACATTGCTTTGTTTGTTTGCCTAACATCAAAAGCAATCCATCTTGAGCTTGTGTCAGACTTAACGTCGGAGGCGTTCCTTGCCGCACTCGATCGCTTCATTAACCGTCGAGGTATGGTTCGCAAGATCTTGTCAGATAACGCAACAAATTTTGTTGGCGTCTCCAAGGAACTTCGACAATTACTTAAAATGTTCAACGACCAAATGGAAAGGAGTAAAATCAACGATTTCCTGATCAGCCGTGAAGTGGAATGGGAGTTTATTCCGCCGAGATCGCCTAACTTCGGTGGTCTATGGGAAGCCGGAGTGAAGATTGTCAAGTCACATCTCACGCGGACTCTGGGAAACGCTACCCTAACATTCGAGGAGTTCAGCACCGTGCTAACACACATCGAAGCTATTGTGAACTCTCGTCCACTTTATGCTACATCCAGTGATCCAAACGACCCACAACCAATATCTCCGTCTCATTTGATGCTCGGTCGAGGACTTGATCCGGTTGCTAAACCATCGTATTTGAATGTTCCTGCAAATCGTTTATCGAGATGGCAGTACCTCAACCAACTCCGGGATCATTTTTGGAACAAGTGGTCTCGCGAATATCTTTCAACATTACAGTCAAGAGCAAAGTGGACCAAAAAGCAGCCTAACATCGAAATTGGAACTGTAGTTCTGTTAGTCGAAGATAATCAACCATCACAAGCTTGGAAACTTGGACGGATCAAAGCTGTCTATACAGGGAAGGATGGAGTAGTGCGGGTTGCTGATGTAAAGACAACGACCGGTGTGTATCGGCGAGCAGTGAGTAAGCTGGCACCACTTCCTCTGCAAGACGATAACCAACAACATTCAGATGATTTGGAATAATATTCCAACGGGCGGGAGTATGTCCGCGATCAAACGCTCCCAGCGAGAAGTGAAATTTCCTACGACGCAATTTGTTTCTAGAACATTCCATGCAAAGAAGAAGAAGAATATTTTTTCCTTACGACGGCGCGTGTGATTGGTGTTTGGTCGGGTCGCGAGTGTGTATATATACCGGGCCTGTTCACGCGTATCGTTTATTAGTAAACCAGCAGTCTACAAGTGACATACAGAAGCAGTAACAGAAGAAGCCGGAAGCAGACTAGCAGCAGCAATAACTGTACCCAGCGGTGCTGCATTCAGGAGCAGCACTTTCCTGTAGAGAACAATAAATCAAAGTAGAGCAGCAACGAACTTCTTTCACTAGTCCATCCTGGTCATCCGTGTCCTTCATCGGTTCCGTGGTAATTGTGTCACAAACGGCCCTTTTCATGGCCCCAGATCTTTCTTCTTTCGTGATGCACATTACCCTCGGGCCATTACTACACTGTTGGCGTTCCGATCCAGTCCACACCTGATTGCATTGTGTTCATGGCCGAACAGATGCTTTTGTCGAATCCACGCTTCAACATATTGTTTTTCCCGTTTCAGTTATAAGATGCATTATCAAATGCTCCTTCAATATCAATGAACGCTGCTAGTGATATCTTCTTTTAAAAAGCGTCAGCGAAATGTTAAAATGTGACACTTTAAATGTAGTAAATGTAGTAGAAGTAAAATATCAACATTTGGATTATTTTTTTTATTCGCATGCAGGTCTAAAGATTTTTTTTCTTATTAAAAAAATGACACACATTGTAGTTAAAAAAATAATATCATAAGCTGATGATACGTTTTTTTTTTAAATTTTAAATTTTGATGGGTCCTAAGGGGATTTTTTATATTAAATTTAAATTTATTGAAGATAAAAAGTAATCATTAGAAAAAATGATTACTTTTACTCTGGCAATGGTTTTGCGTGATTTTCCATGCGATTTTCCTCCACTGTGAAAATTTTCGTGGAAAACATATATGTAAACATAATATAAATATTATATTTTATGGATTGTTGGATAATTTCCTTAATATTTCAATACACAACGTTCTTTCAACAATGCTTGGTTCATGAGTTAAGAATCCGAAAACTTCAACTAAAATTTTCCGGGAAAATTAACCACACGGATTAAAAAAAATCGTTAATATAACCCTAAACCAAAGACTACAAATCAAGAAGACTGGCAACTCTGCCAAAAATCAGTAGACAGAACCGGCAACGCCTTTTCTGAGCAAAAGTGGCACCTGTGTATGATGGTGTGTGTTAATTCACGAGTGCATTCACACACATAGGTAGAAATTAATAGCTGTCAATTATTGTTTTTGTTATGATTTTCGTAAAAAGTGAAACGATTCTTTCTTCTCTTTATGCTGACAACGAGTAAAATTCCAGCTGAAATTGAACAGATGCGTAAGTAAATTTGTTTTGAAAATTAAGGAAATGGATACTCGACACTCTTTAGCATGCTACCTAAAACCACGCATCGTAACATGCATCTACCTGTTGGAGACTGAATGTAGGTACCTGGCTAGGTAAATTGTGACATGGCAGTGCCCAAGTAACAATTCTGCAATCATTTGGCATCCACTCTGATTTATGATGGTGTTATAATGGCAATGAATAATCCGTTTAGTTTAAATACAGCATTTCACAGAGTAAAACGTTCCAGCTCAGTAGTTCACCTTTTCGCTGTTTTAAAAACCTTTTACAGTTGGCGAGAAGTCAAAAACTGTCTTGTTTTAAAATTAAATTTAAAGTAGTTCTCAACTAAAAACTGTTCTATAAATCAATCATAAACTTCATTAGCAATTTTTTATTAATGTCATGATAAAATACTCTATAAACCTGTTCTATCATTATAAAAGTAATCATAAAAGCATAAGGTTTTAAATGAAAGCAAAAGGCATATATTGTTGCCTTTTAGGCTTTTAAAAGTGTATCATAAAATCTCCTCTGTTTACAAATTGAATTTTAAGGATGGATCCTCGAAGTGAATAAAAACCAACTTTATATCCTTGTCATGGATAAACGAAGTTGGAGGAAAAATTCAAACGATGCTAACGACCGAAGGGAAGTCGATTTCAGTAAAATTTAGTTCTTTAGAAGAACCAGCACGTCCGGCGGAACAGGTACCATCAACGACCGAGCATCTGGTGGAGAAGAGTGAAGTGAGCGTGGTCCTCAAATTCATAAAACATTGTCAAAACAGTCTGAAAACAGACCAGCCTTCTCCAGACCTTGCGAATCGATGAAGATCGGAATTACTTGGCGTACTTAGCGTTTATCGTACAACCATTTTGCAGTGAATCAATCTTGAAGAGCTTCGGAAATATACCCTTCAGAACCTTCTCCAGGGTGGGCCAACTAGACAGATTCTAGCATTAATGAGGTTTTGGTGGATGCATCAATGGCAAAGCAGTCTTGACCAGGGTTTTATGAATGTTGTTTTATAGTAGCTTTGTAGTATTTCATAAAACTTAAAATGTTACTTGGGTGGATACCTGCTGGTTTTTAGTACCGTGAAACGGGGTAACATTGATAGTTTTTCAAAGTATATTCAGCAAATAAATGTTTTTCAAATTTTATATTTTTAAAACAAGTACTGAGGATCCATTCGTTAGTTTATGATTCGTTAGTAATATGTTTAACGGAAATTAAAGCATTTGCACTTTTTTTTTTAGTTTTCTGACCTTACTTCAGTTTTTGATTTGGGGTTACTTTGATAAGGCTCGAAGAATGTAGAAAAAATGGGTGAAACTCAAACAATTTAGTTCTTTAAATTTGAAACTTCGAATGAGTATTTAATCGGAAAACATCATAAACAATAAGAATACAACATCGAATTTGTGATGGCTATATCGGAAACACATTTCATAAGTGATGGTTTGAGTGGTTTTTCAAACAGGCGAAAAACACGAAAATTGTTTTTAATATTTTTGTAAAAAATGTAAGACATACTCAATAAAAACTATATACGATATCAACGGAAATACCATAAGCTACAATATGGAACCAATGTTTCTAATTTGGAAAAAGCGCAGCGGGTAAATTTAATCTTTACATTATACTATCAAAGTTACCCGCATTATCAAAGATACCTCGTTTTACGGTACCTATTGATTAGTATATAACTCGTAGATAAAAGATGGATTCTTCAGTGGTATTGAATACTTGGAACTGATGAAGTCTGTAAGTAGTAGACGAAATACGCGTATCTGCCAAAAGATAAGCAATTATAACGGAATTTAAAGGAAATAAACCAACACACTCAAAGCTCTTCATAAAGGGATTCCGTTAAGAGGTTCGACAAATTTAAAGGATTGTATTTTTTATTATTTAAGTATTTAACACTTTATTTTAGCTTTATAGGGTATATGTCCCTAACCTCGGTCTAATATGAAGGCTTCCATTAGATGTTATGCCGTATCTTATGTAATAATTGATCTGCAGTAAATATTTCACTCTTAAAATGTAAGCTTAGATATTCTTATTATTGGCATATTGATTAGGCACGACTGAAAATTGTTTAATTTCAGCATTTTAACATGAAAACATTCCAGGGATGTGGATGTAATGTCGATCTGATGTACTCAAATTGGGTGTATAAATGGATGCAACTTCGTCCTATCGAAGATGAACCTCGATCCACAAAAGGATCGGCATGTGAAATCGCGCTTCTTTTTCACTCTTTATCATTCATACGTAACCACGCATTAGCTCCTAAGTAACATTGACAGATTATCTTAGTAGATTTTATCTTTGCATCCCCACGGCCATGTATATACTCTTTAAGCTATTTCCAACACATAGTTCGATAAAAGAAGCTATTATATAGCATCTAATACAGCAAACACGACAAGAAACGGATTTGTAGCCAAGTTATTAACGAAATAGAAAGTCGACGAGGAGAATCGTTCAATGCTACTTACGACCTAATGCATTGTTCGGTTTAATAGTTTTTCGAAGTAAATGATGACTTATATTTGAATCCCGATCACTCAAATTTCTAAAAACGGAAGTCACTCATAGAATGAGTAAATTCTTACTCAAATGAGTAAATTTCAATCAAATATGAGTGACATTTAATCATAATTGAAAAAAAAAATTACTCATTCTACGAGTGATCTACGTTTTTGCAAGAGTTTGAGTGAACGGTACTCAAATATGAGTCAGTCTCATTTGCCGTGAAGTTTGTTTTGAAAGGAGGATTGACTGCACGTTATATCAAAACAACCCAAATTTGAGTAGGATCTACTCATATCCATCAAAAGTAGGGCTACCGAAAATTGAGCAAACAAAGTTGCAACCGACAAGATGACAAATGAACAACATCGTTCGGATTCACGTCGATGTTTTCTAGTCTAAACTTTGTTTACTCAATTTGATGTACCCTTCATTTGACAAATATGAGTAAATCCTACCATTTTACAGCAAATGTGATATTAGTTTTCCATTACTATTATGTATTAGTGCTGAATTAATGAGTTATTTGCTTGATAGGTCCAAAGTGAGGGCTAGGCTGACATTACATCCCGTAGCCCTGCGTCTAAAATTACTGTGTAAATTTTTCGAGGACAGACTATATCTTTTCCTATGAAATTGTCTCACACGTTATTTTGGTTGGAATTGACGGATTCTTGTTATGAATTATTTAAATATATCGAATACGTCATTGAAAGAATCAAAATGGCCGAGATTTAGCTCAAATATGAATGATTGCCCATAACAAACAATCATGCATCAAGTTTCATAAAAAATGAGAGAAGGACGGGTCTGAAATTCTTTTTCTTTTGTTATTTGCACGGCCAATGAGAACAACCCAAATTTGAGTTTAGTTTACTCATAAATCACTTAAATTGCAGGAGCTCAGGGAAGAGTAAATTTGCCTTATGTTTTCCAGGAAAAAAATTCCCGAATATGAGAAAAATAAAAAATGGATTCAATCAGTGTATTAGTACTACTCCTAGACTGAGTAAAATTCTCGTCAATTATCCTCTTTTTCCGGAAGATATTTGATGCTTTTCACCGTAAAACATGAGATAAATTTACTCAACGCTGGGTTTCAACACTTTTGGCGATTATGAGTAAACTAAACTCAAATCTTGGTCGTTCTCATTGGCCGTGTGGCCTCACATATCCAGAGACCATTTCGACTCAAAACTAATCTTTCAAAAGTCATGTAATTTCTGTATTTTGAACTGCCGCTCAAGGATAATAATAATGACAAGTCCCATAGCAAAAATCAGCAGTTCACTCTTGCCACATCTGGATTCCACCCCCACCTCACAAAGTGAAAAAGTAGCGATGAAGACATTTGAAGATATTTTTTCCAATCGCGTTGAAGACATTTTAGAAAACCATCTGGCATCGCTGTTCTCTGATCATTTTGTGACAATCGTCTGGTCTGAATGGCATAACCCCCAAATTGTTTAACCATCGACTTTGAAACCTTACTACTTGACCAATGTAATTGGAGCTTGATTTCGACTTTATTGTATTCTATTAATTAAGAAAACCATTTATAGGGCCAAATCAATTCCACTCACCTTAAATCTTTTGTCCTGTAACACCTTCTTGATTGCGACTAGCTCGCCCGTATCACAGAGCGTCGCCTGGAAGACAACGCCGAAGCTTCCATTGCCGATCACCTTCGTATCTGTGTATGATACTTCCTGTGGTCTGTCTGGTCCTTGGCCGGCTGTTGCCACAACCGTTGTCACTTTGGAACCATCTTTACCTGCGTTTATGTTTCGAGTTTCGAAAAGGTTGGAAGAGAGGAAGAGAGAAAAAATCGGGTGATTAAATTAGGGCGCGTGCAAATTTTGCTGAGTTATTAAATTAAGGTCGATGCCGTCGCTGGTTGTTGCCAGCTAGCTAGGCTATATTGATCGAAAACACGAGAAAGCTGTAGAGTCAAATTCGATCTAAAAATACATGAATTGCGTTCTTATGCTTATCAACGACGTCGATAATTCTTGGGTCGAGGTTCCTACTGCGTCGTGCTTTATAGGATTTATTGGGTCGGCTTCTGTTAGGCTTTCGTTTGTGTTGCTAGCTACCCAAGGGATTCGAGATTTCCGTGGAATTACGACTTTTAGGAGCCACGCCAAGGTGGAGAATCTTTCACAAGAGGGAACGAAAAAAAATCCTTCCAACGCTCTCATTAGTAGGATTATAAGGAATTTCCGATCCGGCGTGCAGGATCAATGGAAAGCGGGTCGGCAGTAGATTATTTTTGGTGAGCTTCATGGAACCGTGTGTTTCTGTGTGTATGTGTGCACGCGTGTATGACGACGCCACGAGAGCGAATTGACGATAAAATATCACAACTCACGTTGCCGTGGCTCGCTGCTCCAGCTGGGATCTTAAATTCTTCGCAAATCTCTAAAGGCAGACAAGAAGCTGGCGACGACGAAACATTGCACCATCATTGCAGCAAAGTTAAAGTCAGGGTAGATGTTTTTTTGCTGCCATTTCGGCGTCGACTTGATGGAGGAGGGAGTCAGGTTAGCCCAAATTCAATATTCATAAAATTGGGTGAATCCCTCTGCCTCTGTGGGGGCTGTCAGCGGGTGTCACCGCACGAGACATCGGTGGTTGACATGGTTCTAAAGGAAAAAAAAGTTACGATGATCTGGCAGTGTCATTATGCCAACAATCTTCGGACGTGTGTCCGTCGTAACGACGGAGATTGACGACAGAGAATGAGAAGGTAATTTTCGGTATAGCCTTATAATTTGGTGTTTAAGACTTGTTCACTATATCCGTGAATGTTGTGCAGAGTGAGTTTTTTAAATCCCAATTGATTGAGCTAACTGTTGAATGTACTAGGAAGTATTTTAGGCATTACAATGATTAGGAATGAAATAGTACGCTGTGAACTTTTGCATAGAGAATTGAGCAATTGACTAATCGATAATTCAACGAAATTTCCATAACTAATGACCTATCCAAAACGCAGCCACTTGACTCGGTCCACCTCCCACTATCACCAGATGCCATAAACGGCTCCAACTATTAGCGTGCCCGTTCAATCACACATTCACCATTATAATTAATTCCATCAATTAACCGCACTTAACTCTGGACCCCATTCCCGTCGTCGACGACGCCTGTCATGTGAATGTCGATCGCTTAGTATATATCAAACTGCATTCGAAGGATTGAAGCAAATTATTCTATTACTGCCATGACAACTCGATTGGTTAACGTATCTGACAGTGTTGTTGTTATTGGGAGAACGATATCCGCGAGCGCGTGTGCGGTCCAACCCGGATTCAGCCAGTAAACAAGTAAAAATCACTTCCCGTTTCTTGTGCGAACCGATTCAAACTGAATATGGCTATATGCGCCCACAAAAAAATAAGCACCGACCTTCCCTTTCTTTGCACAAATAACTCGAACTGCATTGAAAGTCGAAAATCATAAATACAGGATGCGTCTTAATTAAGGATTGTTTTTCCTTTCGTAGGTAGTTCAAAGTCATGGTCGTCGCACTCACGACTTTGTCTGAGGTGAAGGTGAATCAAAGCTTTGTGATTATTTGCCATTCCTGAGGTCGAAAAAGGAATTACACATCATAACTATTTCATGGAACTGACCAGACTCTGCTGCTTACTACTGAATGGTAGTTTAGCTGTTCTTGTTCCGCTATGACTAAGCATAAAAGGAAAATCGAAAACGTTTGCCAGTAGCACTTTACTCGCCGGGCGTACTATTGCAGGACGCTTGTTGCAAGTTTCAATGGTATTTGGGAATTTCTTTCTATTTCGTAACTTGCCAAATTCTAAAGGAATTGAGGGAGAATTATCATGAAATTTGAATAAAAATTTCGGGTAATTTTAAGAGGTATTTCAAGAAAATGATAAGACACGCTAAAGGTGAATTCCAAGGTAGTTTTCAAGAGACTATTATGGGGATTATGAGAAGAATTTCAGGGAACTCTAAAGCAAATTGGAAGGGATTTTACAGAACATTGATGAACATTGAACTTAATGATGAAATGACTACAATCCTGAAATTATGCCAGACCTACGGCTCACAATCATTTAAATGTTGATCAATTAATCATTTAAAGAGAAAATATATGGAGAGGTTGCCGAAATTCAAGCTAGGGTCCCAGAGAAATATCTAAGGGAATTCCAAGGGGATTTTCAAGAGAATTCCAAGAAAATCACAAGAGATAATCTCTAGGGCACAAGCATTTCAAGCAAATTGTAAAGAAAATACAAATAGAATTCTTAGGTGAAATCCAAATAAAATTTGCTAGAAAACTTTTCTAAATTTTAAATGACATACCAACAGATTTTCGACGAATCTTCTAAGTGAATTCTGATAAAAAATTTCAAGATGTCATGCACAGAAATTCAAGATCCAGGATTATCAACAATACTCAAAATTCTTAGTGAGTCTATGATTGTGAACAAATTTAAATATCTTGGTGTTAGAAAACTGTTCATGATTATTGGGCTAGACATTTCGAAATAATCTATGAATAGTTCTTTCCTTTATTTAACGTCGGTCTCTGTTCCGCAATCTAGTGCCAATCACCGACGGACATCGATTGCCATCCATTGACGGCAATCGAATGTGCAGGAAGGCAGCTTCCACACCTGCGTAGGATATCGTACTCGTTCACAACACACATGGGCCGGGACCAACGGCTTTACTTCCCTTCCGAAGGAAGACGTGACCAGAGATTTTTATGCCTCAGAAAAATCCCACCGACCTCGGCTGGGATTGAACCCAGACCCATCGGGGTGTTAGAAAGCAGTCACGCTTACCACTACACCACCGGCGCCGGCATCTATGAATAGTATTACAGTGGATTCTGAAGAAATATTTGAGGGAATTCAAAGGAAATGTTCAAGAGAATTCCAAGAGAAATCACAAGAGATAATCTCTAGGACATTTTGAGAAGAGTTTCAAGCAAATAATGAAGAAAGTTACCATAGAATTCTGAGGTGAAATCCACAGAAATTTTGTCAGAATACTTTTCTAAATTTTAAATGACATACCCACCAAAAGAATTTCGACGAATCTTCCAAGCGAATTGTACACAAATTTTCAAGAAGTTATGCACAAAAAATCAAGATCCAGGATTAACAAAACTTCTAAAGATTCTGAGTGAGTCTACGATTGTGATTAAATTTCTAAATCTTGGTGATAGAAAACTGTTCATGTTTATGGGACTAGATATTTTTAAATAATCTCTGAGTAGTGTTCCAGTGGACTCTGAAGAAATATCTAAGGGAATTCAAAGGAGATGTTCAAGAGAATTCCAAGAAAATCACAAGAGATAATCTTTAAGACAGAAAAATTTCAAGTAAATTCCGAAGAAAATTACAATAGAATTTGATGTGAAATCCAAAGAAAATTTGCGAGTAGTGAGTAGTGTTCCAGTGGATTCTGAAGAAATATCGAAGGGAATTCGAAGGAGATGTTGAAGAGAATTCCAAGAAAATCACAATCTCTAATCTCTAGGGCACAAGCATTTCAAGCAAATTCTGAGAAAAAATTCCAGTAGAATTTGAGGTGAAATCTAAAGAAATTTTGCGAGAATACTTTTCTAAATTTTAATCTTCCAAGCAAATTGTCAAGATGTCTTGCACAGAAATTCAAGATCGAGGATTATCAAAAAATCTCAATATTTTGAGTGAGTCTACGATTGTGAACAAATTTCAAAATCTTGGTGATAGAAAACTGTTCATGTTTATGGGACTAGACATTTCGAAATAATCTCTGAGTAGTGTTCCACTAGATTCTGAAGAAATATCTAAGGGAATTCCAAGGAGATGTTCAACAGAATTCCAAGAAAATCACAAAAGATAATCTCTAGGGCATTTTGAGAAGAATTTCAAGCAACTAATGAAGAAAATTCCCATAGAATTCTAAGGTGAAATCCACAGAAATGTTGACAGAATACTTTTCTAAATTTTAAATAACATACCTACCAAGAGATTTTCGACGAATCTTCCAAGCGAATTGTACACAAATTTTCAAGAAGTCATGCACAGAAAATCAAGATCCAGGATTAACAAAACTTTTAAAGATTCTGAGTGAGTCTACGATTGTGATTAAATTTCTAAATCTTGGTGTTAAAAAAACTGTTCATGATTATGGGACAAGACATTTTGAAATAATCTCTGAGTAGCGTTCCAGTGGATTCTGAAGAAATATCTAAGGGAATTCAAAGGAGATGTTCAAGAGAATTCCAAGAAAACCACAAGAGATAATCTCTAGGGCACAAGCATTTCAAGCAAATTCTTAAGAAAATTCCTATAGAATTTGGGTGAATTTCAAAAAATTTTTAATTTTAATCTTCCAAGAAAATTGTAAACAAATGTTCGAGATGTCATGCACAGAAATTCAAGAACGATGATTAACAAAAATTCTCAATATTTTGAGTGAGTCTACGATTGTGAACAAATTTCTTAATCTTGGTGTTAAAAAACTGTTCATGATTATGGGACTAGACATTTTGAAATAATCCCTGAGTAGTGTTCCAGTGGATTCAGAAGAAATATCTAAGGGAATTCAAAGGAGATGTTCAAGAAAATTCCAAGAAAATCACATGAGATAATCTCTAGGGCATTTTGAGAAGAATTTCAAGCAACTAATGAAGAAAATTCCCATAGAATTCTGAGGTGAAATCCACAGAAATTTTGACGGAATACTTTTCTAAATTTTAAATAACATATCAAGAGATTTTCAACAAATCTTCGCCAATGGTAAACA